ATCATCCATCCATCCATCCATCCATCCATCCATCCATCCATCATCCATCCATCCATCATCCATCCATCCATCCATCCATCATCCATCTATCCATCCATCCATCCATCCATCCATCATCCATCCATCCATCCATCCATCATCCATCCATCCATCCATCATCCATCCATCCATCATCCATCCATCCATCCATCCATCATCCATCCATCCATCCATCCATCCATCCATCCATCCATCCATCCATCCATCAATCATCCATCCATCCATCCATCCATCATCCATCCATCCATCCTTCCATCCATCATCCATCCATCCATCCGTCCATCTATCCATCATCCATCCATCCATCATCCATCCATCCATCCATCCGTCCATCCATCCATCCATCCATCCATCCATCATCCATCCATCCATCCATCCATCATTCATCCATCCATCCATCATCCATCCATCCATCTATCCATCATCCATCCATCCGTCCATCCATCCATCCATCATCAATCCATCCATCCATCCATCCATCATCCATCCATCCATCCATCCAACTGTCCATCCATCCATCCTTTCGTCCATCTGTCCATCCATCCATAGGAGGCTAAAGTCACTTTATTGCTTCAGAATAGCCTTTTCTCTAGAGCTCTGATATGTGATAGAAAATCAATAAATATCTATATGTTTTTCCATTTTATTAAAGTGTTTTTCTTTGCAGAGGTGAAGACACGTGATGTGGAGAACTTTGGTTTAGATGTTGGTGGAGGTCTTCCTATCAGAGGCATGACTGACCTCAGCTCTTATGGACAGTTTTTGATCTCCAGAGAAATCAGCAGGTACTCTCAACATAAAACTGAATTTAAATGGAAGGTTATAACTATTTAGATGTCTAAATCTATATAAGACACTATAAACTCTGAGATTTAACCAGATACTGTTTCAGCCACCTGTTTGAAGCCTCAGTGCTGGATTCTTACAGCAATTTGGCTCCAAGCATGAGCCTGTTCATTTGGGATTTAATGAGACAGACTGGATAATGTTAAAAAAAACTAAAACATAATTTTTCTTTCACTTCTTCTTCTTGTGTAACTTTGTTGTTATTTAACCTAAATTCTAATCAAATACATTCAGACATGTGGTTCAATTATGTGGGTAAGAAAAAAAGGTGATAGAAATGTACGAACCATTTGCTACAGCAATAATGATGACTTGATAAATGATGAGCTTTTCTGGCTCTATGGACAAACTTAGACTTAGACAAACTTTATTGTCATTTTGTATTCACATACAAAAACGAAATTTCGCTTCATACAGCTTTTCAACAATGAATGAGCAGCTTAGCAGTGAATTAAGTGAGCATTACCATGTATAGAGTTCAGCCATGATCAAAATGTAAACAGCGTAGGAGAGACATGATGCAAAGGCATTGATGTGAAACGTTTAGAGCAGCACAAAAAAATAAATAAATACATGTGGTGGATAATAGAGTTGAATGACTATTCTTTTTTAGAAACACATTTATTTTGATTATTATGTTTGTTACAAATAATTAACATGTTCATTATTTTTTACATACTTGTTTCTAATGATCAATGTCCGCCAGGTTGGACCAGAAACCCAGGAGTTCACAGGATGACTGTGGAAACTTCTCAGCTTGGGTCATCAGAAACAAACAGGTTGGACATATATTTATAGATGCTATGGGAACTAATATTGTACCGATGCCGATAACTGGCTGTAATGGGATAACTTCTAACCCTACAGCAGATCTTTGGGACCAAATCAGTCAATAGAGTGGTCGGGTTGGTGACGGCATGGATGGATGGATGGATGGATGGATGGATGGATGGATGGATGGATGGATGGATGGATGGATGGATGGATG